ATTAATATCTCTTGGGGGCTTTAATTACTCTTCCTGATCTTGTTCTATGAGTTCTTCTATGCTGATCCGTACAATGCGCATAATTTCGCAAATATTTTTCAATGACGTACTGCATGGCGTTTTTGAACCTGACAATATCTTATCAATTAGATCTTTGTACTAAAAGATTAAAAATCAAGGAGTGTTTTGACATGTTAACTTGAGTCATAGTTCAAGGTCAGGCTTTCGCTATTTCATCCAGCTGGAAAGCCGCTGGCCCATCGTAGGCRTTCACCGCGTGTTCAGTAGGACAATCGTCGAGGTTAGAAGCTGCTGATCCCTCGTTGGTTTTGACCTCATATGCAGAAGCAGATCTGCTCTTCCTTGACTTCAAAACCTTYGCGTGAACGAGCTTCATTATGACGGCTRCACAAACTAAYGCCAGCACCCCTCCCATCACACTAAGACCAATAGTCATGCCTTGAACCTTGTGCTCGGTACCTACATTGATATTATAGATATATATAAAGAACAGTTTCTTTACTAAATGTTAACGATTAATTGTTTTATCTATTTCATAGCAACATTGCATTATTCCTGTGATGTTGTTTCTCTAGACTTGACATTTCTACAGAGTTTGCCGCCTGAAGACTATAGTTGCCGTTTCACGCTTAGAAAACCTTTTACTTAACCGCAAAAACTAGTTAATGAGTAACCGTCGCATGGTATATTTTTTTCTTATTTTGAAATGAAAAGGTCTTACAAAGAGATGAGAGCATTTTTTAAGTAAAGTAAGCTCAGGTAGCCCAGGCTTAAAACTTTGTTCAAAATGTGTCCGAAAATGAAAATTTCGCGTGATATTCTCAATAAAAGCCATTCAAACTCAAACACATACTGTTATTTCGCCATAAACAAACTGTTTGTTTTTTCAGAGTTTTTTTGCCTTTGTGATAATATCCACTAGTGCTGAGTGTGGGCTCCCTGTGTACATTCTGCTCGTTTTATGAGTTATACAACAGTAAGTCTACCTTTGTTCTGATCAGTTTCACTCAAATCAATCTTATCTCCAGCAATGGGACCAGTTGATAAGCCATACGAATTACTTGTATCATCGTAGTCATCAGTATCACGACGTCGCCTAGACCCGACACAACCAGATGAACACCTTGAGTTGGTTGAATTACGATGACAAACCAACAGTTCACAGTGAAGGTAAACGAGTCGTTTGCTAGTGCGGAGGAAACGAAACGACTTGATAGAAAACCTCTGTACTGAACTGCTTGGATAGTATCTGTAAATCATGGTACTGTCCATTGGGCAGCTGATAATTAAACAAAAACAACAGCAATTACTTCTGCAATACAAAAAGGAGTTTTGGAGACTTCTTTCTTCGTGTTGGGGAAGATCTGCAGGCTGCAAGTTATTCCAAGTTATTTTGAAGTATGCATCATACTAGATAAAGTTATTTTCTTGATGCTCCTGAGGTGCATCGGTCAATGTGCAGCGATGCCATTTTGTTGTTTTGGAGTTGTAGTCCTATTCAAACTGTTAAATTTTACATCCCCTACAAAAACTAAAAGCCGTTTTCATACTTTTCATGTATAAGTCATACAGCTACTTTTCTAAAAGGAGAATNATTTTTAAAAGAGTCCATGGAGTAAAACACATATGTACTTAATTAGGTCTTTTTTATCATTACTATTTGTAAGCATGACGATCTATTCCCGAGTATTTTTAATAAGGAAAAATGACGGTCTTGTATTTTTTACCTTCAGAAGCTTGCATCGTCTCTTTTGAAGCATTAAAGCTGATGCCAACGGTTTTTCGCCTGGAATATTTGCAGTGATACTGCAAAAGGGCAACGCTCTCACGTGTTATGACGCCATCTGAATCGTTTAGGTGACTTTTGTCGTCCATTACCTGTTGCATAAAACGAAAAAAAAAAATAATGAAATAGATTAGAATTCCTGAACGCCGCTATAGAGCTCGTTCATGTGTAAGACGTCATTGCCATCTAGGTTTGTTTTAGTATCTAAGCAACAGATACCTTTTTCCGTGTTAACATACCCTGATGCAAACACGAGGTTAGGTTGGGAGAATTCGAGCCAGTTACGCAAACCAGGAACKACAATGGTGACGTCAAAACCATGTTTACATACTGTTATGCGGACAAAGTACTTGGCCAATCAGCACGCGCGTAGATTCTAAGTTATTTTATAATTGATTTGTATAATGTGTTACGAGGCGCTATGTTGAAATTTAAGATGACATTTAAAATATAGGAAATTGAATATTTAGCTTACCTTTAAACATTACAAGCGGATTAGTTACGAGACGTTATTCTGACATTTTGTAGGACTTCTAGGTAATAGCAAAGTAAACGTTACAAGTGGATTAGGGAAGGCCAAGGCTAGGTATGGGTGGTCGCACTTGGAACGAAGATCGGCCAGGATCGGGAGTCGCCGTAGTTCACGCGCCCAACCATGCCCAGCCTGGCAAATAGTATAAATCACGAATAATGGTAAAATAGATGCTTTAAGAAAGTATTTGTAGATATAATTTATATTGGAGAGCTATATGTGGTACCATCAGCCAGGGGCACACCCCTCACGGGATGCCACAAAACCAGACAAAACCAACCATTCCCAGAAAGTTTTAATCCCAGGAAAAGGAAAGGATTGGCTGCAAATTGGTGTGGGGTAAATTTTAATACCCAAGGTAAAACCCAAACACTGTCTGATTGTAGCACATATAAGCCGAACAGATTTGTAGAAGAAGTTAGAATAGAATCGAAGAAGTCAGAACTGAGATCACAATAAAAGAACCAAAGAGCAAAGAAGTTATATTGAATCCACGGTTCCTAACAAATGTATGAGTACATCAAGTGACGCCAAACGATGTGACGCCAAGTGATGCTAGTTTGTTATCTCCCCATTTTCTCTGAAAATCGGAGACCGAATCCAGTAACGCTTAGATAAGGTAGTGTTCCTTTTGTATCGATTACATTTTTAAATAGTAAAATGATTAATAATGACGGTCAATATTCAACGATTAGCAAGTTCATGTCCAAATTATTCACACACTTAAAATCACAATTCAGAGAATAAGAAAATAAATTGAGAAATTTCACCTTGTTAGTGAAGACCAGCTTATCATCGTATTCTTTATGAGTAGTGCCACAACTGTTCAGACGTGTTCTTAGACGAATAGTCGTCGAGGTTAGGCTCGCTCGGCATGCAGGATCATTTAGGTGAAGGTTTTCCCAGGTAATGTTAGAGAAATGAGAACGTCCCAGGTCCACCACCATATAACTGTCTTCACAAGTGACTTTTATTCTAGGTGCTAATCCAAACACACAAACAAATGGACCGGAAACGTTAGAAAAGCAAGCAAGTTTCTTAGAAATTAGTAACTACATATTAGTTAATCAATTAATGTGAAAAAGAGAGACGAAATGTAGCCTTACCCAAGCTAGGAGCATAGTTTAATGAAAACCCTCTCTCAGTTACAGAACTATCAGAAGTAAAGGTAATGTTTATCTGATTGGACGCGCTGATTAAGTTACTTGGAACGACATTCCCACTGAATGTACCAATTAAGTTAGATAAACTACCATCATAAACCCTGACATAGTCCCATCCTGACTCAATGTGAAAGGAATYAAAAGAAAGATGGATAGTAGCTGTTCCTGTATGTACTGTTAATAACCAGTAGCAGCTTTCGTRGTTTCCATAGTTAGAGGGATAATTAGGTGATGTGATGTAACCATAGCKGTTTGTTGTYCCAGGGCAATTGGTTTGGACGGTTATACCTGAAATTAATTGTACTGTGTATAATCTATTAATTGATTTTCATGCGACTGCACTGTCACTAGTTATATTTTCGTGAGGAGTTGATATAACTCCAAAAGAGGAGTTAAAAAACGGTACTATGCAGATAACTCCTTTTTCCAATTTTAACTGCACATAGGGGAGTAATTTTGAACCCCTTTTGGGGCAATTTTGACTTTTTTCCGAGTTAATTGAAACCCTTGAAGTAAAACATAACTACTCATATTGTAGAGTAGATTCGAAGTAGATTAAACTCTCTTGAAAAGTTAACTTTAACTGCGTTGGTGGAGTTATTTCAACTCTTTGAAAATAAGTAGCAGTATGGGAAAAACACGATAAAGGTTAGAATTATGAATTAGAATTATGATACACTTATATTATGCAGTGCATGTACTATCTACTACCGGATTAGCACGATGGAAACAGATTACATGAGTCCTGTCGACTCTATGCTTTAATGCACAATCATTCTCACATATAAAATACACAGGTAACCCAATTACAAGATATGTAAACACGACAGTGCAAAGTACCCCTGTCTTTATAGAGACGTTCAGCGGTTCTAAAACTAATTTCATTGATATACGTACGTTATCGCCAGTGCATCTTGCAAAGTTAGAAAGTTGCATCTTATAATTAAACTTTTAAGCTTAAAATTACTTACCYTGGCATACAATTCCTGGTATGTTGGCATAAAACAGCTGAACCAAGAAAACGATGATTAAGCACCTCATGGCTGGCTCTTTTAGAGGAAACTTCGTTGTTGAACYAAAGAYTGTTTCAGCGCCGARTATTTTGTGAGCGGAGTCTTCTGAGTACTTTTCTATATCTGTTGGCTCAAAGTCAGAAAATTTGCCTCACCCTCGAAGCTCAATATGATTGGCTAAGTCAGGCTATTCTTGATTTGATTGGCTGAATGAACTCAAGAATGTTGATTCTGTTGCTAGGTACCGTTATATAAACACACTATATATTGTTATAACTTCGCAAATYGAATACGATCAAATCTATTGACAAAAATGGTTTGGTCTATTAGGTCGACCTGCACTAGACAATTGCTTGTCAATAAATTGTCCTAGAAATGTATGCTAGTACAAATGAACTGTTTACATTCAGGTTTAACGTCTGTTGGTCGATACAAATGGCTCACATTCGAAGTGTTGATAGAAGTTTGATAATGTTTGGATAGGAATTTTGAAGCTYTTGAATGCTATTGTTTGATAGAACAGTTAAACTTCGAGGAGGCTTTGGATTGTAAACTGAGTAATWTTTCCGCATAGCTTTRTTTCTAGTGTTGGTCGGGGCATAGTAATGGGGTCAGCTGACAAATCCCATGGCCAAAAAATGACAACTAAAACAAACTGTTTTCTTGTAGCTAGTGAAATTCAAAATAGTAACTTCCTCGCGAACATGAATTTAACCCTCTCTCATGAGGTTCTCACCTCTAGATGACAGTCAAGATTACTTCTGTATTCACGAGGATGAAGCCGCAGGAAATCAGTGCCACTGTATAAAATTCAGTAAAACAACCCAAACAAACCCATAACTGCATCATTTCAGGTTGCTGTCTTTGTGTAAAGCTAGTGTTTACGTCTAGATATAGTTTCTGTTCACGTTAGTTGAAGTTTTGATCGGTGAAGTTCAAAGCATTGTGGTCTTGGAATTCACAGTTCGTAGTAGGTTTCATTTTCTGATGATGCAATAATAGATTTCTTAAATTGGAAAAAATCGCGCGCTTTAAAGGCTTTAATTTTGATGTAAATATGATGTAGGTTTCCAAAATTCTGTAAATTTGATGTAAATGATTTATTAAATTTACAGAATTTTGGACACCTACATCATATTTTACATCAAATTTACAACATTAAAAGCGCGCGATTTTAAAAATAAAATCGAATTCATTCTTTATTAGTGTTCCAAAAAGTCTTCTACTGAAATAAAGAAAAAATAATAAAAGATAAATAAAGATAAGTTTAGAAATAATAAACATTTATGATTTTCGTAAACTAACCACCATAGAGCATGGATATCTGGAAAAAAATACAGGATATCGTGTAAATGCACTTTGATTGATTATGTTTGGAAGACCTAAAATTGTGCAATCGTCATGTTCCAACCAGGAAGTAAAAGTTATCCATAAACTAAAACGAATTTAACAATTGATTGACGGGTTAGTTTGCTTGTGTACTTTGCCTACAGCTCTGTGTGATCGCATTGCATTTCTCTAAACTCTACAATACTACACGACACGATGCTACTGAAGGACATATTTACTACTTTATTAAAAGATGTTTTGTTTTCCGTACTTATAGCTACATTCTTAAGTACTTACCTTCATTTATCATGAAGTTCATTGTATTTTGAACGCAAGCACTATGTAGCAGTTTTTTAACCTTAATATATTTAGCTTGAATTTTCAAGCAAATGCTTCCAATTTTGTCCTTTTTGGTCAGTTTATCCATTACGACTTACGGCTAAGATTTACGGCTTGAAAAGTTGCTTTAATGTCTTCATACATCACAGAAATAAAGATGAAATTTTTGTTGACTTTCCAGCTGTTTTTGATAAATAAATCTGTCCTTTAAATTGAATTCCTTGTAGATTTAGTTCAACTGCTCTTCATCCCGCTTCGACGAGTCGTGGTTTACTATACGTTTCGCGTGTTT